GCGGCTCTCTAGCAGCTCTGCACTCCAACCAGATAATTACCCTGAAGGTTTGTAGGTTCTCTTCCGGGAGGCCTCTGGCCCCGCTCTGCTGAGAGGCTCCTGAACGCAGAGGCCAACATTGCACGTCCTCGGGCCCCTGGTGGGTGGGGGCGCGACTCTGGGTGCAGCAGCTGTCCCAGGAAGGCGGCCATGACCTAGAAAGGCCATGATTAGGCACCCACGCCCCCAGCTGGGCACATTCTCAGCCCAGGTGGCCTCTGGTTCTTAACACTCATCCCAGGGGCCTCCTGTGACTTAAAATGCTTTCCAAACAAAAGGTTGGTTAGATGCCATCTTTGTTTTAACTTGGGTCTCACCACTTCCTAGAGCCGCTGGGTGCTCGGCTGCATGGGTAGAGAGATTGAAAGCAGCAAGATTGTCCAGAAATGAAAGTCACATGCGATACTGTGATGGCAAGCTGCCTCTCCCAAACAAGTGGTTGGACATCCTTGCCCAGCCTCTATTTTCCAAGCCGGCCAGCCCCAGGGTGAGACCTGGGTAGCACTTATCTTGTGCCACACTGGCCAACACCCTCAGTCGGTTCAGCCCCCGGGAACCGGGCTTGGCACTGCCCTCGACCACCTCCCCAGATTCGCTGACATCGGCCTTTCTCATTCAACCAAAAAGAGCACCCAGAGGCAGCCACACAACCAGCCTGGCTGCAAGTACCAATTTAGCTGGTCCTGTGGCTCCTACGTAACCAGAGCCTCTGAGTCTCCCGCCCTCAGCCCAGCAGCCCTTGTCCGCCACCAGGAATGCCAGCAGTGCAATGTTGGGTTGTGTGTCAGGCGGCTTTTTCAGCCCAGCATGGCCACGGAGGGCAGGCCCAGGCAAGGAGGACCGCTCTCCCTGTTGGGGGATGCTGCTGGCCAACACCCCAAGGACGGCTCCTCCTTTAAGGGACGGTGTACCCTCCCAGGGCAAACTCAGCACTGCGCCCCCTAAGCCTCGGGAGTGCTGGGTCCATGCCTCCCCTCCCTGTGCCTCACACTCGCTAATCTCTCTTCTCTCTATCTCTCCTCCGTTCCCTCTTGGCCGCCCTGCCTTCCTGGTGACTTTTGGCATCCTCCTGAACACCTGCGACCTTTGGCCTTTGCCCTCTGGCCTTCCAACTCATCTCTCTCCTCAGCTGCTGCCTCTCCTCAATTCAGTGCGACTGGCTCCACCCCCAGTCATTAAAAGGCGGACCTTCCAGGTAGACCCCTTCCCTTTGCCCAGACCTCCTGGGGCCTCCCGGGGCTCCGAGAGTCTCTGGGCCTGAGAGGCCAGCGGGGGCTGCAGACGAAGACAGAACCTCACTGTCTTTTGGTTAAATTAAACCAGACAAAAATGGACCGGTCAATGCCATAGGCCCAGAGACACACACCACCCGGCCCAGCAGACCCCCAACTCCTACTGCCCATTACTACTCACAGGAGCCACCACCACAGCCGTCAGTGCTGCCAGCCACCGTGTCCCACATGCCACAGGCCTGATTCCACTTCAGCCGCTCAACAGTTTTCTGAACGGGCATGGTCATCCTTATTTCTCAGATGGGGAAGTCAAGGCTCAGAGACGTTAAGTGAGTTGGCCAACGTCACACAGTACATGGCAGGCACCCAGGCTCTCTGTCTCTTACCAGCTGTGTGATTTGGGGCAAGTTACTTAACCTTTCTGTGCCTGGGCTTTCTCATTTGTAAAATGAAGCTAATAACAGTTCCCACTGCCTCGGGTCACTGGGTATGCAAAGTACTTAGACTAGTTCCTAGCACAGTTTCATTGCTAGATTACATTGAGGCTCAGAGAGAAGGGAATTTGTGCCCCAAACAGCAAGAGGCAGGATGGGAATTGGCAACAGGTCTTCAGACCCCCCACCCACCCAGGGCTCTCTCCGTTGGCCCTACACCCTTTATATTTAGAAATGCAGATTGCTCAGCATCTGATCACTTGTAACCTGAGTTTGAGGAGGGAGGGAGTTTGCCGAGGGACTGTAGCCCACAATCAACAGGTGTAATCACTGTGGGCAACTGATTCCTTCTTCCTGCCTTACCAACCCAATGAGGCTGGGTAGGACCAGGTCACAAAGAGCAAGAGACCTCAGACCCAGGGTTCAGGCTAAGGCACCCACACCCCTAGCCTTCCTTACACTGCGCAGGGGGTACCCCCAAGGCCACAGGGATACTGGAAGGGACAGGGCTCAGAGATGCTCTCTGCGAGCCTGACAGCATGGCCTGGCGCCACCATCTGCCCTGACTCAGGAGTCCAGAGGCCTGCATGTCAGGCACCTGGTAGAACAAGGCTGAAAAAAATTGCTCCAATTAACAACTAAAAATACAGAGGGACACGTGATGGGTGTGTCACCCGAGCCTGCGTATCCCCTTACACCAGCCAAACTACACCCTTTATATTTAGAAATGCAGATTGCTCAGCATCTGATCACTAGTAACCTGAATTTGAGGAGGGAGGGAGTTTGCAGAGGGACTGTAGCCCACAATCAACAGGTGTAATCACTGTGGGCAACTGATTCCTTCTTCCTGCCTTACCAACCCAATGAGGCTGGGTAGGACCGGGTCACAAAGAGTAAGAGACCTCAGACTCAGGGTTCAGGCTAAGGCACCCACACCCCTAGCCTTCCTTACACTGCGCAGGGGGTACCCCCAAGGCCACAGGGATGCTGGAAGGGACAGGGCTCAGAGATGCTCTCTGCGAGCCTGACAGCATGGCCTGGCGCCACCATCTGCCCTGACTCAGGAGTCCAGAGGCCTGCATGTCAGGCACCTGGTAGAACAAGGCTGAAAAAATTGCTCCAATTAACAACTAAAAATACAGAGGGACACGTGATGGGTGTGTCACCCAAGCCTTCGGATCCCGTTACACCAGCCAAACCCTCGAGAGCCTCCATGTGCTCCGAGTGCTTACCCCAAGCATGGCTATTTAGGGGGCCCGCTGGCAGCTCAGAGAAGCACCCAGCCCGCCCCACTGTCACCCACCCCTACCCGTGCCAGACCCCACCCCAGGAGAGCCGAGCCCTTGCTCTTAGAGCGGCCATTCACCTCAACCCAAGCGGCCTCCTCCGGGCCTCAGCTGCCTTAGCTGCCTTAGCTGCTACTTGTGGAGCCCTAGCTGGTTCCGGGCACTGTCGTAAGAATTCTACGTGGATCATCTCATGTAATCTCACACCGGCCGCCGCCCGTGGCGGTCCAACCATCATCATCCCCACCTTTCAGACGAAGAAATCGGGAGGGGCCCAGGCATGTTACTGCCTTCCTTTTCCAGAGCAAGGGGTGGGCGAGCCAAGACTCTGTGCTGCCCTGGCCCGGTTTCCAAAGCAGAGAGAGAGGTGTAGCGGCCCCTGCTCTGCCTGCTGCAGCTTCGGCCTATCAGCCATGGTGGGACATAAAAAGGTTTGTCCCCTTCCTATCAATAAACCAATATTGATTTGACAGGCTCTGTACGATACTTAAATACTGGGTCTAATATTAGTTGAAACAGGACCCTTTATAAGAGAGACGATGTGCTTAGCAGATGGTGTTGGACGTCACTTCCAACGTGTAGAAAGTTGGGCGGTGAGCAGTGTTTGCTGGGGGCTTATTTGGAATGAATAGGAATAGTCTGGAGTTCCGAGTTGGGGTCCTGCCTTCCCCCTGAATTCTCATGTGACCTTGATCAGGGAACTCAACCTCCCTGAGCCTGTTTTCTGTAAAGTGGGACCTGTGACCCTTTTCTGCACCTGCCTCTGCCGCCGGGAGCACTCAGTGCCCTCAAGCAGCTTCCCGGGGTGTGGCAGGATGAAGCCCGGGGCCCAGAGTAGCTCTGCCAGGTGCCACCTGCCCTAGGGCGTCCCAGCCAAGAGATGGCTCAAGCAGGTGCTGCTAAAATCTTACAGTTCTCCTCCTGCGTTTGTGCACTCCTGTTTATAATCATCATTTCCCGCTGTAGAGTTTGCAGGACGCATCATCAGCTCCCCTTTTATACAGGGAAGCAGGAATCAGGCAGGCTTGCTGAGATCCCCCTGAGCAGGGTGGGCGGGCCTGGAACTCAGGCTGCCTGCGTCCCCTGCAGCCCAGCCTGGAGCTCCCACACCTGCCGGGCTGTTCTGTGTTAGTCTGTCTGCAGGGTGGGCCCCTTGTCACAAGACCTGAGCCAAGAGCATCCCTGGAGCGCTCACTTAGGATGACTCTGACCGGTCCCCAGCCCCAGGCTCTCTCTCCTCCTGAGGGAACATGGTGCTGCCCCTGCCTCCCAGGCCCTCATCCATCCTGATGCAACTGGAGAACTCATGCCCCACCTGAAGGGGGCGCCATTCCTCGACCCAGGCCATGATTGCCCCCAGGAATGTGGGCCTGGCTGCCAGGGCTCCCAGTTTTTCATCAGAACCCTCAATCCAATTTTTTTACTTAAAATCTCTTGCCCAATTGTTTAGTGAGCCCAACAAAAGTCTATGACCTCTGACCTAAGGATCGGATTTGATGCTCTGGGCCAGATCATCAAAAATGGCAAAGAGCTGCCTTAGGAAAGGAGGGCCCGCTGTTCTCATTCAGTGGCTGAGAGGCCAGGATGCAGTGTGAGGACGTGGCTTGCCACGCAGCGGGAGCGGAGGCAGGCCCCGGTCCCAGACTGCCTCGGGGACTCTGGCGCCCTGGCCAGGCTGGGAGCAGACCTTCCACCGGGGGTCACCTCGCTCACCCCTCTGCCTCTGCCACCGCAGCAGGGCTGTCACACTGGGACCAGCAAGTCCTCTCTGGAAGCCCCTCCTCTTGGGGGCCCAATGTCTTGGCCGTCTCCTTGCTGCCACAGTCCCTGCATGTAGTCACCTCCGCAGCAGCCTCGCCATCACGCCACCACCGCAGCAGCCTCACCATCACGCCACCTCCGCCTCCCCACCAGAGCCCACGCAGGCCTTCACCGGGTGCATGGCACTGGGGCGGGAACCGCTCTGCAGCCTGGGGTCTCTCTCTAACACTTGTTTCCATGAATCTCAGGGTGAACAGGGCCAGGCCGGTATCCAAGGCCCACCAGGGCCACCAGGCCCCCCTGGACCAAGTGGACCTCTGGGGCATCCAGGACTGCCAGGGCCCATGGGGCCACCTGTAAGTACCCCCTTCCTCTCTCCACGGCCTCCTCTCCCAAGGTTTGTCCTAAGAAGTCCCTGGAAGCATCCAAACTTTGCATAACCAACAGAAACCTGTGTCCCAGCCGAATGGCCAAAGGATCTGGCAAGGCCATTGCACATGGGTGACCCATGCAAGGAGCTGCCCATCCCTGCCACACGCACCTGCTGCACTCTGGTTCTGAAAACACACCTTCTGAGGCCATGTCCTCAACTCCAGCCATTGCTTTCTAGGGAAGAAGTCACTAACAGGCTACCCCAGCCCTGCAGAAAGGGAAAAACGTCTTCAGGGCCACCTCTCATGCCTATTCCCTGACCCCTGGGCTTAGGAGAACCTGAGTTGGGGCCAGTGAGTTCTGACGGAGGGTTGTCCCACCAGCTGGCACCCCCTAACACACATGCCTTTTCTGGTGCAGGTTTCCCACTTCTAAGCCACCACCCGGATGCCAGGTCAGCCAGGGGTCCCTGCATCGAGCCTGAGGACTGGCAGGGGCCCAGGGGGGCTAGCAGGCACCCCACCTCCAGGCAAGACCACACACGGGTGGCTATTTAAGCCCAGTGGCCACCAAGTCACCCATTCCCAAGCCCTGGCTAAGCCCTGGGTCTCTCTCAACCCAATTTAATGCAAAAAAAGCAGCAGGGCAGGAGAACAACCCAGCAGGCATCTGGACTTCTTTGGAGAAAATGGGTTCTCAATCCAGAGCTAAGACTAATGGCATCTGTTCCTGGAGGGACAGGGTGAAGGACAAAGTCTGCTTAATAATGTTTTCCCATGTGGCTAACACACAGACAAACCTGAGTTTCTTATGACTGAAACCTCATACATTCATCAGGAAACGTTTGGGATATAGGCAAAGAAAAGGTTTTCCATGGTCTCTTTTCCCATATTCAGAGTTTAGCATCATTCCCCATTTTGGAGAGTCCTTCCATGTTCCTCCTTAAATGTATCTGCACCTGAACATTTCCAGGTTGATAATGTTCTGACTGATACAGCAGTTTGTACCCTGTTCCTTTCCCATTTGCCATCATAAGCACGCCCTTTCCCACATCAGGCATCTCCCAGGACATGGGTCTTAGGGCTCTCCTACTGAGAGAGCAGTTAATGAGTCCCTTCTGCGATCGGTCTCCTTGGACACGAATGTCTGCACACCTGATTGCCACTGGGAAGGAGCCCCCCAGGAGAAATTGCTGAGTCACGACCTCCCTGCCAAATGGCCCTCAATGAGTACAGTCGCATCCGGGTCACTTGGCTTCACCCCTGGCCCCTCAGCCGCCCCAGCTGCCAATGCTGAGGCTCCGTGTGGGGTCCCCCGGGCTGGGCGACAGCTCCGGCTGAGCGGCACCCAGCTTGGCCGGAAGCAGGCACAGCCGTGTGGAACTAGCTTGCTGGGGGCTTGGGTCTCCTGCCCAGCTTGACCCCCTGCACAGATTTTAAATATTTCCATCATTTCTCCCAGGACCTCAGGGAAGGAGATTGGTCTCACTTTCATGGGTTTCTAGATGGGAAAATGGAAAACCTGAAAGGAAGTGAAATTTAGGGAACTGAACCAAACCAAGCTGGGAAAACCAAAAAAGTGCTCAAAACCCACTGGCTGCCCTCCCCGAACACAGTGGGCTCCCACTCACTGAACCCAAGCCAGATGGTTTTCTTTGTTAGGTTTTTTTATAAAGAAAAAACAAACAAACAGAGAGTGTGTTTTTAAACCAATTGAAACAGCCCAGACTCCAGCATCAGGGTTTTCTGAAGCCCGTGTTTGCCATCCAGACCCGCTCCCACCACCGTGTGGAGACAGCACCTCTTCCCTCCCCTCTCCCTCGGGCTCCTGCAGGCCCTGGGCCCGCGCCACCTCCCCACTGCGGGATGCCATGGTCACAGCGCCCGGTGGGACGGAGACGTAGGGCTCCCCCGCAGGCTGGCAGGGCCAAAGGCAAAATCATGACTGCTGGGCAAGGCCGGCTTTCCAGGGAGGGGTCCCAATTAGGAGGTGGGCGGGTGGGGATCTGGACCAAACCACACTGTCGACTTAACATGATGCCACTGACCTATTTTCCAGTGGGCAAGCCCAGAGAAGATGCCCACGGCGCCACATGGCTCCGGAGAGGGACACCAGCCTGGTGTCCCCATGTGCCCTCGGCAGGTTTCAGACACCCTCCCAGGAGCCTCCGATCTGTTCTCTAGCACATCCAGAGCCCCTTAGAGCTCTTCAAGCACCTCTCCACCCCAGCATCCCCTGTAAACATGACCAACCTCAACTGTTTACCTGTGGAACCCACCTCCACTCACCTTTCTCTTGCTTCCGCAGGGCTTTCCTGGGCCTCCTGGACCGAAGGTGAGGGCCCTTCGGGGTGCCACACTGCGCGGGTGGGAGAGTTCCCTGCAGGAGGAGGGGCAGGCAGCACTGAAGGGTTCTGTGTAAGGAGCTGAGCGGGAGCTGAGCTGAGAGATGGATCAGGCTTGGCTCACTTCCAAACCACTGCCCCCCTGGGAACTGGTTGGGTCCCGCAAGGATGGACCATTTGTGTGCTCGGCTGACCAAGTCCTATGGCTGGTCCCACCTCCAAGGAGCTTACAGTCTGGTTGGAAACTCAGGGTTGATGCCCAGGACACTGTCGCAACATCCCAATAAAAGTGTTTCATAGGGGGTCAGACTGGAGGGACCTTCAGGGTCATCTGGTCTCTTCTGAAACCTTATCTGGAAGCTCATGATGTCAAACAGACTCTCCCTCTGAAGTGGGGAACCTCGGGCTCTGAGGATGAGAAGCTGCGAAGCCCAACCATTTTACAAATGATGCTGAAGGCCCGGGGCAAAGTGACGGGTCCAAGTTTTCGACAGAGAATCGGTGGTGGAACCAAAACTGAAACTCAGGTCTCCTGCCAAGTTGACTTGTTCTGAGGAGCAGAACAGCCTCTGATATTGTTCCAGGGCTGGCTGTGCGTGGAGGTCGGAGGATTTAGACATGGGGAGGAAGAGGGATGGGAATGTGAGGGGAGCAGCAGGAGCTGAGGTTTGGCATTAGGAAAACCCCCCTCACCATCTTCTCTTTGTCTCTCCCCCCACCTCCAGGGAGACCCAGGGATCCAGGGCTACCATGGCCGGAAGGTAAGAAGTGGAGGGAGGGGAAGACCTCACCCCACAGCCATAACTCAAGTGGGATCTCACCATGGTGCACACACGCATAATTTTGCACAAACACTCACCCAGCGTGAGCTTCGTAATGTGTATGAGGTTGACTGGACAGAAGTCATATCTCCACTTGGGGAAGCAGGAGGCTAAGGAGGGGACAGGGCCTTGGGCAAATCAGTGGTCCAGCTGGACCTCTGACCCAGAAGGGTCTCCCCCGCCAACCTGGTGGCGGTATCTGTACCCAGGCGCCTCGGGCTCTCCAGGCAGAGCTCCGTGTTGAGCAGGGTTGGGGAGATGGGGTAGGGTCCCAGCCCCGCTCTCTGGCAGCTCACAGGCCAGAGAGATGGGATTCCTGCACCAATAACCCTGGTGAAGGTTGTCTGTGCTGGTTGCTGCCATCACAAAGCGCTGTGAATACAGGATGGTGGAGAGATTACTTCCAGGCTGGCAGGAGTTGGGAAGTCTTCTGGGAGGTGACAGCCTATGAGCTCAGTCCTGGTGAATAGGTAGGTTATCCATTGCTGTGTAACAAACCATCCCAGACGTACTGGCTTGAAATGACGATTTCTTTCTCATGATTCTGTGGGTTGGCCATCTGAGGGTATCGCTGGTCTCCCCTGGGCTCATTCACACATCCATACTGCATGACAGATGGAAAGGCCAAGGCGGCCGCCTCCACACGTCTGGTGATTGGCGCTGGCTGTGGGTGGGGTGCCTCCATTCTCCCTCCACTGGCATCTCAGCCCCCAGTGGAGGAGACAGGTTTCCTTACAGTGCAGCAGGCCCAGGGCAGTCTTCAAAACGGGCGAGTCCCAGTGCACTGGCATCACATTTTCTGATGTCCTATCGATCAGAGCAAGTCACATGGCCAAGTCATGTGGGCGGCGGGAGGGGACTCGGCTTCCACTTCTTCTTGTGGGAGGAGTGGCAAAGCATCTGTGGCCATTTTTAATCCACCCCTGGGGTCCTTCAATCAGCAGATTTCAAGGGAAATGGCATTTTAGACAGGGAAACTATTTGAACCAGGGCCCAGTGGTGGTCTTTACAGTAACTATGAAAACAAAAATAACCTTAATAAAAGTCACCACTTACTGAATGCCCACCATGTTGCCAGGCTGTTCTTCAATGTGACCTGCATCATTTTGGTCCTAAAACCTCCCTATGAGGCTGCATGTCCAGGTTTGGGCCCTTCTCATGCTACCACCTGCTACATGGAGCCCATCCGGCCTGCAGACCCTGGCTGGGAAGCCTCTATAGCAGTGGTTCTCAACCTTCTGGCCCTTTAAATACAGTTCCTCATGTTGTGACCCAACCATAAAATTATTTTCGTTGCTACTTCATAACTATAATGTTGCTACTGTTATGAATCGT